TTTTTTTTTTTTTTTTTTTTTTTTTTGTGCTGAGGACCCTTTTGAGAATAAGGGGTTCTCATTATATTTTTTTTAGTACGGTAAATATGGTGATAATGATTGAGCCATTGGTTTCATGAAGATGAATTACTCAGTTTGACTTAATTTAATACTTTTTTAATAAATTTTTAGTACATGTCAAAACTTCGACTTTACTTTAAATTAAATCAGTTTAATTAAATTTTAGTAAATTGATTTTTTTTATAGTCTCCCACCACTTAGAAACAGATCTTTTATTTTAAAAAGTGCAATGAAGCAGGACAAATATAAATAATATAATTTCGTAATATCTTCGGTATTATTTAATTAATAGGAAAAACCTACTTTCTCCATCGGTCTTCATTAAATAGGATTTATCTTTTTCTTTCTTAACATCTCATCTCAATTTTAGTCGAAGTAGATTCAAATTAAATTAACATCACTATGTCTCGAAAAAATCTTATTTAATTATTAAATATATTTTGTCAGTTTCTGATTGTATTTTCACAATCCATCAATTTTGATAGTTTTGACGGCATATTACTGGAAAATCTTTGCGAGGAATTTTACTATTTATAAAAATATATATATATATTATACCTGCTTATATATAAATATTAAAATATTAAAATATTAAAATATTAATACTATGCCAATATTTTTAAATACACTATCAATCATCATCATTAATTATCATTCCTATTTCAAGCATTATTTTATTTCCTCGTTTAAAAAAAAACCTCCCCCACATATGAAGCTATAAAACAATGTAGCACTAAAAAAACCCTTAATAAACACTAATAAAAAAGTAAAATATTATATTATAAATTAGTCTTTTTCCATAAACTTTATAAATTTTAAAAGTAGTGCCAGTTCTCCATTCCTAATAATTCTTTTAATTTCGTATATAATAAATGTATTTGACATTTTTCAACCTGTATAAACTATATTAAATAAATATTTAGGGTCATATTAAAAATAAGATTCGATATTTTAAAAATGTTTTAAATATAATTTATGTCATTTTTAAAAAAATGGAATACTAACATATTTAACAAATTTCTCCCTAGAGAAAAGGCCACAACAGTGGAATAGCCGGAGAAGAAAATTCCCGTACGATTTTGTTTATCTGTCTTCTTCGTCGTCGTTTTGGGTTTCGTCTTCTCCGATTGACAGCAACATTACTGAAAATCCTCTCTACCAAACCCTAAATTACTTTAACACCTGCGTTTCCGATATTCAAACGGTCGATTTCGACGCCGACGCCGACGCCACCGTTTCTTCCTCCTCCGACGATCTGGTTCGTTCTACGATTTTTTGCCCCAATTTTTCATCTTCTTGGAGGCGTTCTACAGGTCCCTATGTTTTCTGATCTTCAATTTTGGATTTCGTCACTCCGATGTGCAAGACTAAGAAAAGTACGGACGTGATCGATCCCCCGAGCCCTAGATCCTCTCGCCATCAACGAATGTCGAAATCCAACGCCTCGTCTTCCTATGCGGATCCTTCCAGTTCTGTGAATTTCACGAGTTACAATATTAGCACTACCGATGCTAAATCCAGCACTAAGAGCTCGTCGAAATCTTCCAGTTCTAGTCGAGCTTCGCTTGTCAGTTTGAAGAATTCGCTTCCGGATAATCCTCTCATTTACGAGTTTTCTGAGATTCGTTCCGCTACCAACAATTTCCTCTCCAAACCGTTCTCTTCGTCGTCTTCTTCCTCTTCGTGGCGGTGCTTAATTAGGGGAAAAGACGCGATCGTTTTTCAGCGGAAATTGCTCCGTCCGATTGAGTTACCGGAGTTGAAGCATCAGTTGTCTGTTATCGGCCGTAGCCACCATAACAGTCTGGTGAAGCTCCTAGGCGCTTCGATTTCGGGGGATTACGTTTATCTGGTGTACGAATTTATCGTCGGAGCAAACTTGGCGGAGTGTCTCCGTAATCCGAGAAACCCCAATTTTACCGTACTTTCGACTTGGATTTCTCGGATGCAAATCGCTACCGATTTAGCGCACGGACTTGATTACATCCACCATTGCTCTGGTTTGAACTCCAAATTCATCCACAATCACATCAAGAGCTCCAGCATTGTAATCACGGAGGAAACCCTAACTCCGAAAATCTGCCATTTCGGCACCGCTGAGCTCTGTGGCGAGACAGCAGTCACAGAGGAGGAGAATGAAGAAGAAGAAGAAGGAGGAGACGAATCAGAGATTACGACTTACAGGCGGCCGAAGCGGCCAAACGTTAAGAAGATTAAACTGGAAGGGACGAGAGGTTACATAGCGCCGGAGATGATGGAGAATGGGACGATGAGCCAGAAAATCGACGTTTATGCGTTTGGAGTGTTGATTCTGGAACTGATCTCCGGCGACGAGGCGTTGAAATTCATTTTGGAGAAGGGGAATCGCGGCGGCGGGTATGTGAGGGTAAGTGTAATAGAGACAGCGAGAAAAGCAGTGGAGAATGGAACCGGCGAGATTCGGACATGGGTGGATCGGAGATTGATGGACTCATTTCCGGTGGAGGTGGCGGAAAAGATGGTGGTGGTTGGGCTGGAATGCGTGGAGGAGGACCCAGATAAGCGGCCGGGTATGGGTCGGGTCGCGGGAAAGATTTCTAAGCTGTTTCTGGAATCGAGCCGGTGGGCAGAGAGCATTGGCAAATCACTCGACATGTCGGTTTCTCTCGCCCCTCGGTGAAAGGTGATGGTGAAACGACAGTCGGTACAAACTTCCACTGCCTTAATTTTTTTTTTTTTTTTTTGATACTTCATAATTAATTAATTGATTTTTGTAGAAGTGTTCATGAGAATTTTGGGATATTTTCACTTAAAAAAATTTTAATGGGGAATTTTGAGAGATTTAAATATAAGTATCTTTAATTTTTAAATTATAAATTTAGTATTCAATATTTTATGTTTCATATCCAATTGTACTAAGAAAAAAAAAAAGAATAAATACTATAAAAAATGGTTTTTAATGGATTGGGATACCTATATTTAAATACTTGAATATAAAATAAAGTTCTTCTATACATAAAGATAACGCAACTTTAAATCCATCGCTGTCGACCAACCTGTAATATAAAAAATAATATATTTATTTTATTGTTAAATATTCAATCTTCTTAGTTTCTATGAATCTATGATTTTAAAACTTTGGTATCAATTTATTGGGATTTATGTAATAAAACCTTATAATTAATTATTTAATTTTTAATAATAAGTTTAATTATTTTATTTACCACTGTAATAGGTGGTTAACCCTATTGATCCCATTCAATTTGTAATTTTTACTATGAAATATAGATTAATATTTTACTACATTGGTCTTAATTTTGAGAAAATAATGCACTTTTACACCTATAAAATTACAAGGGTAAAATAGACTTTTAACTAGCTATAACTATGAACAATTCGTGAAAGATCGATTTGGTTATAATAATTGTATCAATTGATATTAACTTATCTTAGAATGCATAGCAACTCTCGCTCTGAAAGAGTGACGTATAATTAATAAATGAATTTATATCTAGAACTTACAATTAGTCCGAATAAAATTTTGAATAATTTAAATTAATATTTAATATATTAGATATATTAATTAAAAAACAAAATTAATATTTAAATATTATATATATTAAACCTAAAGAAATTATTATTATTATTTGAAGGGATTATTTTAACCAAATTTTGGTTACCCGATTTAATGCGAAAATATAATTGATGTCGAACTCCCAGAGGAACCCGGCCGTTCTGGTATACGCACACCCGGCGATGGAAATCTGAACTTCCTAACTCGGAGCTCCGTGTGCAGTCTTCCATGGCGACGAGGCGGATTCTCTCTCTCGCTTTGCGTTATCGATCGCAGACCTCTCTTCCGCACGGTGAGCTTCCATTTCTCTTCTCTCGGTAAAACCCTAATTTTAGACAATTTTTCTCACTCCTATCTATATATTTTTGCCTGATTTGTTCTGGCACTTTGCTTGTTATTTAAATCGTTCCAGAATCATAGGAATCTGTTATTTTTTCCTGTATCCCCTCCATTAGTGGGTGAATTTGGTATTCTCCGTTCATGGGAAAATCTTGTGTCGAAGTGGTGAAATGAGTATATTGCAATTTATTTTTTGACTTCCCAAAGACTTACCAAAGAGAATGAAGGGACAATTATGTGTATCTATGATCTAATTGGTTGAATATTCTGGGCGAGTTCTTTCTGTTGTTTTCGAAGTGAAGGGAGTTGTTTCCATGACACTCTTTTATAAGTGCTTTATATGATTTATTTCAAACTCCGCTTCAGCGGATAGCGGATGGATAGCAGTAAATTTAATCTTATGTCTAACACTTATACATTTTGAATCACTTGGAATGGGGCGGGTTGCCTTGGAGGCACCACAGATTGAGTTCTGCGCCAAGGTTACCACCCTTTGAAATTCCCTAGGAGGCGGGATGCCTTGGAGGCACACCATAGATTGCACCATTGGCAATGGCGCTTATGAGTGCTCCTAACCGGGGCCGTAGATCGAGTTCTAGGCTAAGGTTACTGGAAATGACCAAAGAACAAAAAAGCCAAAAACAGATGCAGCATAAAATGTTCATCCTTGCCTGACTAAAAGAGAAAGGGTTTCTGCTACCCGCTCTATTTCTTGGGTGGAAAAGTCCAGACTAGAGCTGACTACTCGTGAAGAGATAAACTGCTAGAAGCCGTCAAGAAAAAGTCCCTCCCCTTTTTGTTGCACTATAATTTAATCCATTTTCCCCAGAAAACAGAGTTTGAACATATAAATCTCATTATCGGCTCGTGAGCTTCATAACAGACAATTTGAGATCTGGTTAATTTGGTTTTAGCAGTGAAATGGGACCGTTTGTGAAGCTTCAGGTGTTCTTCCTTTCAAATGTTTGAGGAAATTTTCTTGTAGCTTTAGAAGAATAAATATTCTTGGATTCATTTCATTATCTGATGTCTGATTCTTGACGGTTTCTTTCATCTTTTTATTTATAGTTTACATTAGTACAAATCTTGATTGCAGAAAGGTCTTGCCAGATTCACCCGTTTGCAAATTCATGGTTCTTGACTGGGCAAAGATTTTGGATAAGAGGAAATCAGAGCCTGGCAAACTCATCAATTGCTGAGGATTCTAAAGATAACGAAGGCAACTCTGTTCATGAAAACAAGGACGATGGTTCTGCTGTGAAGTACTCTGTTCTGTCTAACTTGAAATCATCCCCTAGGCATGACCTTGCCATGATCTTCACTTGCAAAGTCTGCGAGACAAGATCAATCAAGACAGTTTGCCGTGAATCATACGAGAAGGGCGTGGTAGTGGCACGTTGCGGTGGATGCAACAATTTACACCTGATTGCAGACCATCTTGGTTGGTTCGGCGAGCCAGGCAGCGTCGAAGACTTCCTGGCTGCTCGTGGTGAGGAAGTCCGCAAAGGTTCTCTTGATTCTCTGAGCTTGTCCCTTGAAGATTTGGATCTATCCCACAGCGTTGAAATCAAAATGTAGAGAAATCTTGAGTAGTTTATCACTCAGCATGGTTTCGGTTTCTCTGGTTTGAATTTAGAACACTAAATTCAAAATTTTAAGTCGTTTTTATTTTAACTGGACGAAACTTTTGACCATATACATATTGATGAGTTTAATAGGAGTTTAATTGCCTTTTGATATACTATTTGTATGTTTCATTCATCAAGAGAGATTCAAAAGAGGTAGGTTAATTTCAAAATACCAAATTAAGGTAACTAATTGGTACATCTATGCGTGTGATATCACATATACATATTTTGAAAAAACAAACATAGCGACTCCATTATAATTTTTATCTCAGATTTGCAGTTTCGCCTAGACGAGATGTTCCATCACTTATTGAACACAACCCATGTGAAACTAAGCTTGTTTGGCCACCTACGATATCCATGCATGCATGTTCATCCAATCGAGGATGATCCTATCATTATAGGGAAGGAGCGGTTTGCAACAAATAAATAGTTGGGTGCCTACCTCGTGAAATCAGGTAGGAGAATAGAGTCAAGGTTCAAGAGCAAACAAACCAACTAGTGGGTTCAGTTCTTTTTTTTTAAATTGATTCTCAATTAGACTCNAGGAAAAATTTTTAAGAGTTGAGTCGTTCATTACTGAAAATTGTATTTCATACCTACAATTATATATTGTGGGGGACTCTAACAGGGTCGTTCAATGGAAAAAAGTAAGAATAAGAAAATGAGAGTGATCCAGATTTATCACAGCTATAGAAGAATTTCAATATTGGACTCAACTCAAAGGTTCAGACTGTATGTACGATTTATCTGATCTTATAACTAGTTATAATTTTTTTTTTCTAGTAAATCATGAATTTGTCTCGGACAGTATTAAAAATCTTATCGAAAGCTTACGGCAGCTTGCCAAACAAAAGCTAATAGAAAAAAGAATAGAGGTATTACTGGCATAACATCTACTATTGGATTCAAAAAAGCGTAGGCCTCAGGCAATTTGGCGGGCGCTATCGCGCTGAAGTAACCCATGCCATACTCCCAGGAAAAGCTCGAACGACCTTAAACAAAAGGGTACTTGTACCCGAAATCGGTGGTCTTTAAAGTTCAGTCATTTCCTAAGCTAAGAAAGGTTACGGGTGGGCATTTTACCAGAGGTTTCTATTGTATCAATCTACCCTTGTTTAATTCCTGTTGAAGCATATACTCGGGGGGGGGGGCAGGGCGGANGGGGTGCAGGGCGGTCCTAACTCTACCGTATCTTTTGTTTCTTTCTTCTGGAACAATCACCTGAAGAGTAGAGGAGTGAATCAATTCTTGGAAAAAGAGGGAGCGTGCCTAAAATCTAAGAATCCTGCCAAGTACATGGAAGAATATAGTTTAATCTCGCAACTTGCATCAAACTATATAAGGCATGTTTATGCTTTTGAATAGTCTCCCAATATTTCAAGGCAACTCATCTTTTGAGATGAGCATTATAAGTTCAATTGAGGCAACCAATATGTCTAAACAATTATTATAATGGACACAACTGACCTTTTTGAGACAACTATCATAGCGGGACAACCCATCTATTAAAACAACCATCAATTTTGAAGAATTATTATAACCGAGAAAAATCGATATTTCGTGACAGGTATCATACTGAAGCAACCAACTAATATTTTCAGAAGGCTTCAGAAGGCCAGCTAGGCCGTGTTCTTTATGTTGATGAATGTAAGCAGAAGGGAATTTTTATGAGATGCTATCAATCAATTCAAATACACTAAGTGGCCAAGAGGATGAGGGTAAAAATGAATCGTAAGTCACTCGCCTTTTAGCTCACGTTCGATCATTTTTTGAACGTCGTTGACAACTAAATATGCTTTGTAGAGACCAATTACCTCGTCTTGTTTCTTACCATCCTTCCATAGCTGCAATAAACAGAATCAAGACCTTGATGTTAAAAGAATGGAAGGTTTCCAAGGTTAAAGATATCTGATTGTGAAGAAAATCACCTGAATTGCTGGCATCTTCTGGAAGATTCAAAGACGAACGGTTGCGATACACAAGAAAATGCAAGAAATCAAAATGATCAGGACAGTTGAGTATAGAAAGTGTAACAGCCTAAGCCTAAGCCCACCGCTAACAGATATTGTCCTCTTTGGACTTTCCCTCAAAGTTTTAAAATGCGTCTACTAGGGAGAGGTTTTACATACTCTTATAAGAAATGTTTCGTCCCCCTCTCCAATCGACGTGCTATCTCACAAAAGGATTTCATGTTTGCAAACAATAAATGAAAGATAAACAGATCAAGCAGTTTAATCAATCAACTCATCCATCAAAGTAACATAAGCTCAACATGTCCTTGGACTTCTAGGTTCAAACTGCAAATTGGAAACGTTCCTAAAGGTAATGAAACACAAGTTCTAATTTCCATTGTAAAAAGAACTCAAGTAAAATCCTACCTAAAGAAGATCACTATAATTTGCAAGCTTTGGAAGGAACTTACAGCTAATCCGGCACGAACAACTAGCTTGTGTGGCACCATATTGACATCAATGCAGTAGAACTGCAATCTAAAATTCATCAAGAACAAGCACAACTTCAATAAGGACTTAGCCCATTTCTTTTGTACAACCAAATGGCTAAGAGCTAACCTGGGGCAATAATCAGCAGCCAATCTTTCCAATTGGGGTATCAAATAAATATAATTTCTGCACCAGTTAGCCATCCTACATATCCACATAAACTCACTTTTCAACGAAAGAAAGTAAAACAAAGAGAAATGTTCTTGAAAGGCTTGAAGGAAAGCTGTTGAAAAATATCAGAATTAATGTACAACAGAGGTTATGTGATTCATAATAAGGCCTTAGCAAGCGCCCAGGATTGCTTAGCAGAAGGGATTTTGTATTCTGTTTCAGTGAAACCCTAGAAAAGCCCACAAGAAACGTATGCATACCATACAAGAATCACGAGCCCGTTGTGTTCCTCCGCATCTGCAATAGCCTGATCGAATTCAAGTTCGCTGCTAATGGACTGGAGCTCCATCGAAACAGGCGATTCATCTCGAAATTTCAGGGAACTCTCTTGCGTCCAAGCTCCAAGCAGCGAAACCTTCTCATCAGTCACATAAACTTTCTGGGAAAGCGGCGGAAATTTGCGGGACAGAGGAAGCTTGTTGAAACCAGAGGCGGGGAGCCTCGCGGGCGGGAGCAGTGGAAGCGAAGGAAGATCAAAAGAACCGTCGAATTTGGGAAAAATTTTCACGCTCCCGAGGTGAAGAGGCAAAGCTTTCACCATTTCAGATGGAAAACGGAAAAAGGAGAGAAAAATTCAGAGGACAGCGGCTGGTGGGTTAAATCGGGGTGGAGATGGCGACTGCGACGGCGGCGGCGGCGGCTTAGATAGGGTTTCGGTGGAGTCCCACCAGGAGATTCAGAGTAGTTCAGAGATTGTTCCGATCGACCTCCTAAAACCTGAAAGAAACCTGAAAGAAACGCCAATTGATTTTGTTGAAGAAAACAAAAAGGAAAAGAAAAATTAAGAAACCCAATATAAATTTTTATTTTATAATTAATAATATATAAAGAATTATTAATATAAAATTTAAAATTTAGAAAAAGTATTAAATAAATAAATAAAGAAAGAAAAAAAAGAAATTTAACCGAGAAAAAATAAAAATAAAAAAATAAAAAAATTGAAGCCCAAGCGGCGGCAGCTTGCCGCATGCAGTGGTTTGACTTTTTCTTATTTCTTGGAAATTATTGTGAAAATAGTTCATGGTACAAATTGAATATACATTTCATTTAATTTTTTAATTTAAGATAATATTTTTTAAATAAAATATTAAAATTTTTCATTAAAAAACTAATTCAAGCATATTTCTAAAAATATGAATAAAAATTCTGAAAGCTTAAATATATTTTTAAAAGTTTAAGCATTAAATAACTGTATTTTTAAAACCCATTTTTTAAATTAACTTTTAATATTATTGAAACATTTAGTATTTTTAAATTAATTACAAAATTTGAGATATTTTTATTAATTTTTCGGCTAGGGTTTTCCTAGACCCTCTTTGGGCTCCAACTCAGCCCACCATCATGGACTCCCCATTTGGCCCAACTTCCTTGGACTGGGCCTACCAATCAAAAGCCCATCATCAATTGGCTATGCCTTCTTTGAATAAACTAAAAGTACAGTTTCAAGATGTGCATTACCTTTATTATTATCTTTTTTTTTTTTACCATAATTCTAAAACTTGACTATCTTCGGTCGTTAAGGTCTCACGTGTTTTCTAAAAAGATATCCGTACACCGAATAAAAACTTTTTTTTATATAAAAAAAGGATTGATACGTAAAAATATAACATACATTATTTTCGGTAAGAATAAGGTTAATTTTAAAAATAACATATTTTACTTGTCTAAATTTTATATTTTTTTTTTATATTGTCACACTAGTTTAAGTCATTGCTACCCCATTTTATATACGAAATTTTTGTCTAAAAATCTAAATAATTTCTATTTTAGAATTTCAAAAATAATATTACAAATATTATAATATTTTTTATATTTATTTATTTGGCAATGAATTTGTTGGGAAATGTCCATAAATTTATTTAGAAACAAACTTTAAAAGTTTGTATAGGACACGATAATTTAAATATTAAAAAAAAAAAAAAACAGTTAAAAATCCTCTGTTTCAGTCAGCATTTTCATGAAGCTGAAGAGCATCGCCGGTGAGTGCATAGATTTTCCTCTCCACGGTTTGGGCACCCATATCTTCGTAAAAGCGCATGGCATTCACGTTCCAATTTTTCACTAACCAGAACACTTCACAGTAATCCATTTTCACCGCCTGCTTCGCCACCGCCGACAGCAACATTTTCCCGAACCCCTTCCTCCGGTAACACTTTCTCACGAAAAAGGCCTCCAGAAAAAAACCTGGCCTCCCCGTATACGACGGAAAATTGGGGAAAAACAGAGCAAATCCAGCAACGACGACGTTTTCATCTTCTGATTTGAAAATCTCCCCATCTGGATCGTCCACCGGATGCTCGGAATTGAGAATTCGAACCTCGGGGATGTAATTAGGGTTAGAGTTATGAGGAGAGTCTTCCGGGAAGGGTTTAGGGGAAACTTCTAGAATGAAAGTGGTGACGGATTGGAAGGGCGGAGAGGAGAAGAGATTGGCGGAGAGATCAGATTCGGTGGTGGAGCAGACATGAGAGTGATTTTCGAAGGCGGCCATTTGGTGGAGGAGCTTGTGAATGTGAGGGACGTCGGAGGCAACGGCGAGGCGGATTCGGGAGAACAGAGGAGAGCCGGTGGGTGACGACGGAGTGGCGGCGTCCATTACAGCTAAAGCTAGAGAAACTGAAAGCTTCGGATGCCCACCATGCTCACACCAAACCTCCCTTTTATAGTGTAGAGGCAATGGGAGATAAAATTATATTTTAATAATTTAAATTTTAAAATTAAAATTATGAAAACTCACTTTCACATTTTCTTATTATATTATTACATTTATTATTATTATTTTTCTTCTCTATGTCGATACATATTTTTATTATGGTGTGAAATTTGAATAGTAATTAATGTTTATAAAAATATAATTTTATATTTCTAATAAAGTATTAATTATAAAAATGGCCTTAAAAATAAAATAAAAAATAAAACAAATGGTATACAAAAAAAAAAAAAAAAGAAGGAAAAGAAAATTAACAAATTTGAAGTATGCTCCTTTTTTTCGTTATTTAGTAAAATTAATCATAGAGGTAAGCACCCAAAATAAATGTAAAAAATGATTTATAATATTTTATTCTCACGTAATTTACGTGTTTGAAGACTATATAGTAACATTAAATTTTTAATTTATAAAAATTATGTTGGTAGAAGTTATATTATATATATATATTTTCATTTAAAATTATATTAGAAACAAAAAGTTATCATTTTTAAAAAGAATAATCCAAAGATTTGGAAGAATTTTATCTCAAATCAATATTTGGACATATTCCAATTTTATTCTAAATTAAAATTTCATGCAAATTAAACTTTTTTTAAAACTTAAAAATATCTATATCTTTAAACATTTTTTAAAATTTTATTTAAACATTTTTTAAAATTTTATTTAAACATTTTTTAAAATTTAAAAAATATATTTATCATTAACATGTAGATGAACCGGTTAAAATTTTTAAAAGTATACTGATTCCCTTACAATTAAAAAATAGAGATTTGTAATTATTCATTGGTTTTTAAATACCTTTTACCTTCTTTATTTGTTAAAAAGATTCCGTACTGAAATCGATGAAAGATAGGAGGGAGAACTTATATTGTTCTCTAAATAATAGAGAGCTACAAATAAATAATAACTCTATAATATAAATAATAAAACATTTATAACATTTTACATTATGAAAATTAATCCAAAATTATGTAAAGAAACTATAAGAGCACAATTTTTATTTATTTATTTTTTTTTTGGATAATATTTATTTTCTCATGATTATTGTACCAACGCAACCAATAATTAAGGTTCTAAGACAATCAATATTTGAAGCAGGTAATAATTTGAAATGATTATCGTTACAGACAATGCATTCATGTTCTATGTCTAAACATCAAATCAATCCATTAACATCCAAAAATTTTACCAGATTTTCGAAGGATAAAACTATACCCGTTTACCTCCTTCATTCCATTCATGATAGTGCTCCAAAAGTATTCCGCTTCTTTGGCATTCGAACCACCATTGGACCCGAGATGGAAAATGGGCCTAATTAAGGTGGAAATGGGCCGAGAAAATACACATAGGGCCTTCAAAGCCCAATTAATCACCCAATTAAAACAAGCGAAGAAAAGAATTAAAATAAATCTCAAATTTGAATGTCTATATACTTTGAAGAAGAAACTTGTTGCCCTTGGTTTAGTAGGATCCACCGGTATCTTTCCAATTGGCTAAAGCTGGGGTCATAATCAGCAGCTGATCGTTCCAATTGGGGTATCAAATAAATATAATTTCTGCACCAGTTAGCCATCCTACATAGCCACATAAACTCACTTTTCAACCAAACAAGGTAAAACAAAGAGAAATGTTCTTGAGAGGCTTGAAGGAAAGCTGTTGAAAATTAGTAGAAATGTCATAAATTTTACATAAGTACTTAACTTGGTTGAAATTTATTTAGAAACAAACTTTAAAAGTTTGTATAGGACATGATAATTTAAATATAAAAAAACGGTAAAAACTCCTCTGTTTCAGTTATCATTTTCATGAAGCTGAAGAGCATCGCCGGTGAGTCTATAGATTATCCTCTCCGGCAAGATTTGGGCACCCATGTCTTCGTAAAAGCGAATCGCATTCCCGTTCCAATTAAGCACAACCCAGAACACTTCACAGTAATTCATTTTCACCGCCTGCTTCGCCACCGCCGACAGCAACATTTTTCCAAACCCCTTCTTCCGATAACACTTTCTCACAAAAATGGCCTCCATATACAAACCTGGCTTCCCTGTATACGCCGGAAAATTGGGGAAAAACAGAGCAAATCCAGCAACGACGACGTTTTCATCTTCTGATTTGAAAATCTCCTCATCTGGATCGTCCACCGGATGCTCGGAATTGAGAATGCGAACGACGGGGATGTAATTAGGGTTAGAGTTATGAGGAGAGTTTTCGGGGAAGGGTTTAGGGGAAACTTCTAGAATGAAAATGGTGAAGGATTGGAACGGCGGAGAGGTGAAGAGATTGGCGGAGAGATCAGACTCGGTGGTGGAGCAGACATGAGAGAGATTTTCGAAGACGGCCATTTGGTGGATGAGCTTGTGAATGTGAGGGACGTCGGAGGGAGCGGCGAGGCGGATTCGGGAGAAGAGAGGAGAGCCGGTGGGTGGCGACGGAGCGGCGGCGTCCATTACAGCTGAAGCTAGAGAAACTGAAAGCTTCGGATGCCCAAAATGCTCGCACCAAAACTCACTCTCATATTTTTCTTATTATATTATTACATTTAGTCTCAGTTATTTTTTAAACTCAATTTAATAGTTTAAATTAAATTTTGATTTGCACATATAAATAAAAATACATTTCCCAAATCCAAACTAAGATTTGGAAGAATCTTTATCTCAAATCAAAATTTTGACATATTCCCATTTTCATAAAAAATTGCATTAAAAGCTAATATTTTATATAAAAACGTGAAATATTTTATATCTTATCCTAAACGTATCATCCACTGGTCAAAAGTTGATGCAAGTAAATCTACAAGTTAGAGTCTAGTTTAAGCCGATCAACAAAGTAGAAGGACGATAAAAAAGATCAATAATTTTACAAATTAAAATTTACTTACTCGAACATAATCCTATGACCTAACATTCCACATTGTATACTCTTAAATATAAATAACATTTTTTTTAAAAAATAAGATACGAACATTTGGACATAGTTTAATTAGTTAAAAAATAAAAAATACATTCATGAGCGCATTTAAACATTTTCTAAAACTTCAAAAATATTTAAATTTTCCTTAAAATTAAAAGATTTTTGTTAGTGTAGTTTATGTACGCTTCATAAGTCATTACATTGTTTTGATTATTTCTTTCTCCCGTATGAGTCCACAATTATTCATTTTTTATTTTTGATACTGGCTTTTTAAATACCTTTTATCTTCTTTATTTCTCTAAAAGTTTTCAATTTATTCTTTTTTTTTTTTTCATATAATAACTTTATAAAATTAAGAACTCTCACAGATAATTTATTTTTAAAAATAGTTGACAATTCAATGTTGAAAGTTATGAAAGAGAACTTATATTATTTCTTTAAATATTCTGCAAAAGAGAGAGCTAGAAATAAACAATAACTTTATAATATAAATAATAAAACATTTATAACATATTACATTAGGATTTATCCAATATTCTTCTTCCACTGCATTAAAATTATTAATAATAATAAAAAAAAGAGCCGAATCTATCCCTCATAATTATAATTAACTATCGTATTGTTTTAATTATACTTATGAGAGATAAATTTGATTTTTTTTTTTTAATTTTGATGATTTGTTTTCATCTTTTGAAATATTTATTTTTTAAGTATTTATTTTATGACTATGATAAGATGTTAAACACATGAGATTAGGAGTTTAATCTTGGTAAGTTTACACAAATACATTTTTATAATAAAAAACTATATTTACTAAAAAAAAAAATTCCAAGGAAAAGGAATATTTTTAGTAAAAACAAAAGGAATAAGAGTAATAGGCTATGCTCAATTGCTTCAGTCACGAAATATAAAAAATATTTAAAATATATAATTTACCAAGTCTATTTCTTCATAGTTACATATATTTTATGAATAAATAGCTAAAAACTCGAGAAAGAGAAATATTTAGAGGGGAAAAAACAATATATATATATATNAGAGAAATATTTAGAGGGGAAAAAAAAATATATATATATATATATATATATATATATATATATATATATATATATATATATATATATATATATATATATATGTTTTTCTTAATTTAAAAATGTTTTAAAATATTTAGTTTTTTTATGGAAAAAAACATTATTTTTAGAGTACAATAATTATTATTTTGAATAAACTAAAAATATAGTGTAGGTGCCTTAAGTTTATTATTATTTTTTCGACTATAATTCTAAAATTTAATGATGTTTCACGTAATTTTAGTAATTTTAATAGTGTAAAATGTCGAAAATAATATATATATTTTTTATTATTTTTTCAATAAATTTATTGAGAAATGTCCATAAAATTTATTTAGAAACAAACTTTAAGCTTCAAAATTTTAAAAGAAGCTTTTAAAAGTTTGGATAAGACATGATAATTTAAATAAATAAAAACAGTAAAAATTACTCTGTTTCAGTTATCATTTTCATGAAGCTGAAGAGCATCGCCGGCGAGTCTACAAATTCTCCACTCCGGCAAGATTTGGGCACCCATGTCTTCGTAAAAGCGAGTGGCATTCACGTTCCGATTAAGCACTAACCAGAACACTTCACAGTAATTCATTTTCACCGCCTGCTTCGCCACCGCCGACAGCAACATTTTTCCGAACCCCTTCCTCCGGTAACACTTCCGCACGAAAATAGCCTCCAGAAACAAACCTGGCCTCCCCGTATACGCCGGAAAATTGGGGAAAAACAGAGCAAATCCAGCAACGACAACGTTTTCATCTTCTGATTTGAAAATTTCCCGATCTGGATCGTCCATCGGATGGTCGGAATTGAGAATGCGAACGACGGGGATGTAATTAGGGTTAGAGTTATGAGGAGAGTTTTCGGGGAAGGGTTTAGGGGAAACTTCTAGAATGAAAATGGTGAAGGATTGGAACGGCGGAGAGGTGAAGAGATTGGCGGAGAGATCAGACTCGGTGGTAGAGCAGACATGAGAGAGATTTTCGAAGACGGCCATTTGGTGGATGAGCTTGTGAACGTGAGGGACGTCGGAGGGAGAGGCGAGGCGGATTCGGGAGAAGAGAGGAGAGCCGGGGGCATCCATTATAGCTGATCGGTCCGATTGAAGTTAAATCCTCAAGGTTGGCTATGGATGCGGAACATGCTCACCAAACATCTTTTTATTGTGCAAGAGGCAATTAAAAGTTTTAATTTTATTTTTTATAAATAATAAATAAATCTTTCTTAAATGCTAAATATACTAAATGAATTATTTTTGTTAGACTCTCCAAAATAGTATGATGTTGTCCACTTTTAACATAAGCTCTGGTGACTTTGCCACTTTTAGCATAAACTCTGGTGACTTTGCTTTGTGTTTGGCCTCATACCAATAGAAAGTGTATTCTTAGATTATAAACCCATGACAATTCCCTATATTAACTAATGTGGGACACTTTCATCTAACAATTTTAACTAAGATTTGGAAGAATTTTATCTTAAACCAAAATTGGGATTTATGAAATTAATTGGGATATATTCCAATTTCATAAAGTTTGTATTAAATTTATTTAGAAAGTATTAAATAAATATGGAAAAACATTCTTTCTAATTTTATTTAATAGAAAGTTACTATTAGGGGTTATTTTATATTTATTTGATTCCTATAGTTTTAAATTAGTGTGAAAAATGATTATGAAGTATTCTAATACGAAAATTTAATGGTTTTAAAATAAATTAATTATTATTTTGGTTTAGAAGTATTAATTATTATTTTTTTCTCTTAAAAAAATAATTATAAAAATAAAAGAGAGGCAATGAAAATGTTTAGCGGGAATTTTAGGTTGAGTTGGTGGGCGAACCTCCATTTTCAAATTTGGCTTGTTCTCCATTCCGAGTTTACCATGTCAGTCTTCAATTTCCCTCCCCAAAGTCCATTTGATTTTTAACGGATTTTGGTTTCACTGATTTTCTTTTTCTCACCTAATCCTTCAGCTTTCAACTCCTTCTTCTTCTTTCTTGATCAATCTGATTCTATCTCGAATTCAATCTCTCTCCTCACCGGAATGGGATTTTTCGGCACCGTCTTCGGAATTCTCGGGTTCGGAATCGGTCTTTCTCTCGGACTATTGGTCGGATTCTTCATCTTCGTCTACTCTGAGACTAAAGATGTTAAGGTAAGTTCCGTTCTAGTTTACCGTTCTTGCTTGATCTTACTGTGATTGATTGATTTCGTGGTTCTTCCTTGATCTTGGTTGATTGATTTATCTATCTGTTGCACTGGTGAAATCGGTCTGTTTCTCTTGTTTTGTTCTTAATTATTTTTCTCCATTTCGAAATTGTTTAGTCTCAGTACTGAGAAACGACTTCTGTTCCCTGAAAAAGTGTGAGTAATTTTCATTGTATTTGTCTTCCTCGAACGAAATGTCTTTTAACTCAATAAACGTTAAAATCAAATATTCGATATTTTAACATTCATTTGAATGCCTGTTCAATCGAATCTCTGCGTTCTTCTCGAGATAAGATAATCGTGTTTTGAAGTTTAAGTACTCTCAACTGCAGGAACCAGTTACGAGGCCTCTATGTGAGTTGGACACAACTTCTTTGCAAGATCTAATGCCTGAAATTCCACTGTGGGTGAAAACTCCTGATTATGATCGAGTTCGTATTGCTCTTTGGTTGCTTTTAATTTTAATCAAAGTTCTGATCCATTAACTTTTCTGAACTCCATATTTTACTGATCAAGATTGTAAAATTGATGCAGGTGGATTGGTTAAACAAGTTTTTATTGGCCATGTGGCCTTACCTTGATAAGGTGACCTCGCGTTTTGCACTTCTCTCTTCTTCGTGAGTCAACTTGGATGTAAAATATATTTAGTTTACAGGCAATTTGTGGTAGTATAAGAGCCATTGCCAAACCTGTATTTTCAGAATACATAGGGAAGTTTCAGATCGAAGTTATTGAGCTTGAGCAGCTAAGCCTTGGAACTCTTCCTCCAAAGTTTCATGGTTAGTCTTAGAAGCTTCAAAATGGTTTTAAAAGAAACTGCAGATGAGTCATCTTATGATCTCCTCGTGCAATTTTCGGATCAAAATTAATTTTCCATGAGATTTTGTGGTTTATTTTTCTTTGCTACTTTTCAGGTCTAAAAGTGTATGAAACAAATGAGAATAAACTGCTAATGGAACCAGCAATCAGATGGGCTGGCAATCCCAACATAGTGATGGTGGTGAATATCTTGTCTCTCCGGATCAAAGTTCAGGTCAGCAGCCTAATGACAAACTAAAAGATGAATATCTGTAAAAATATCTTATAAGTGGAGATTTTTTCATCTAATATTCACTATGCGTCTTTCTAGAAAGTGGATCTCCAGATATTTGCAACGCCACGGTTGGCTTTGAAGCCTCTTGTGCCTACTTTTCCTTGTTTTGCAACTATTGGAGCATCTTTAATAGAGAAAGTAAGTGCAAATGCGACTGGAAATATATCTACCATTTTTCTTGATGCTTCTATCTATGATATTATCTGCAGTTTCATCGCTTAGCGAATAATTCTTCCTTTACTCTTTCGCTGGATATTTATAGCCACAAATAGACTTTGGATTGAAGATAATGGGAGGAGACATCATGTCTATACCTGGCTTTTATCGATTTATTCAGGTGCTTCACTGGTAATTCTTACAGTTCTAGTGTGATTTGTAGAGACTGAACTGCTAGTTTAATTCGGAATGAGCCAACTCTTGGATTTTGGTCAGGAGAAAATTAAGAGACAAGTTTCAAGCCTCTACCTCTGGCCTCGGATTCTTGAAATTCCTGTTCTTGATCCTTCGATGTAAGATGATAAATGAATTACTTCATGTACATGACCAATCTTGTTGTGAAGAAAGTTGATTGTCTCTGTTTGTATAGATTGGCCACAAGAAAGCCTGTAGGCATATTGCATGTGAAGGTTGTACGTGCATCAAATCTCTTGAAGATGGATATTTTGGGAACATCTGATCCTTATGTGAAACTTATGGTGAGTGGTGGGGGGTTACCTGCCAAGAAAACAAGTATCAAAATGAGGAACTTGAATCCTGTGTGGAATGAGAAGTTCAAGCTTATTGTGAATGATCCCAAGTCTCAAGTTCTTCAGCTACAAGTCTATGACTGGGACAAGGTACTTCCTGCCACTTTTCCAGGATGAAATACCAATAAATATCCTCGACGTTTTATTTATTTATTTATTTTTACTACTTCGATATTATTATCTAGTTAATTATTCGTTGTCGTTATTAGAATTAGTCATTAATATTCTTTTTCTTTTTTAGAATGTATTTGAAAAATGCATTATAAGAATTAAGATAATAGAGTACTAGTTCAACATTTTGTCATTGCAAACTAAACCGATCTTGTACGAAGAAAATTTATCTCCGTGGAATCGCTTCCACCAATTAGGAAACTAAAGTTTAGGAAATATTATTTTTCCACAAAACCCTTAGGCGTGTTATTAAGGATATATAACTATAACTTCTACTAATTGTGACAGGTTGGTGGCCATGATAGATTGAGAATGCAATTAGTTCCTCTGAAGCTGCTTACACTCTATGATATCGAGGAACTCGTGCTTGATTTGCTCGAGAACACAATATCAATGACCACCAGAATAACAAATTTAGAGGAAAACTTGTAGTCAAAGCTCATGTTTACTCCTTTCAGAGAAGAAAGCATGAAATATCTTGAAAACTCAATCAGTGAGGTGAAGAGTGAAGGCAGAAGCAACGGTCAGCCGGAGAATCAGATATCGGATGGAGCAGGTGTATTATCTGTGACGGTCCAGGGAGCTTAAGATATCGAAGGGGAGAAGCACAATAATCCTTACGCTGTTATACACTTCAGAGGAGAGAGGAAGAAAACGAAGGTGATCTTTCAATTTTATGATATCTATCGATTGTTCTTCGATCTATCTGTTGTTGATTTTCTTCTATTTGATTTTGTTTTTGTAGATGATCAAGAAAACTCGCGACCCCTCATGGAATGAAGAATTCCCATTTATGCTAGAGGAACCTCCCATTCGAGAAAAGATCCATATTGAAGTTATGAGCAAACGGAATGTCTTAAGTTTTCTGCAAAAGGTATTGTCCCAAATAGACTCCTGGCACGAAGTTAAACTAAAAAATGACACCTTTTCAAGTACTAAGAACCAAAAAAAACACAAGCCACAGTTATATTTTGGCTTTCATTTCTAAAAATATTTCAAAGTGTCATTAAAAAAAAGTATATTTAAAACTCATAATTGGTCAATTCGGGATGAATTATTTTAGAGACCATCATAAGTTAATTCATTTTTATGAAGTTTGACTGGATCGTTGAGCTTAAATATGATCAAGAATAACCCATTATTGAAATTAATACAGGAATCATTGGGACACGTGGAAATCAATCTCGACGATGTTGTAAACAACGGGAGGACAAATGAGAAGTACAATCTGATCAACTCAAAGAACGGAAAGATTCACGTAGAAATGATATAGACAATGGCTTAAGAATTGAGTGATACAAATTTGTATGTACAGAGTGTGACGTCTGGCGCTTATAGAATCATTTATCAGCAAAGAAAAAAATAAAATAAATTTTGAAATAAAATAAAATTTGTAACTCATCTTTCCAATCAATTATAATTCAAGAAATTGCAAAATGGCTTGTTTGTTAAAAGGGGAAAAAAAAATCTTGTAATTGTTGGTTAATATATATATATAGATATCAAGTGCATCTTTATTGCCTATAGCTCAATTTAGTTTACTAATTTTAAATTTGTGCCTATTTTACTCTAATAACACTTTAAACTTTTAATAGGTCATCTAATATACTACAAAATTCAATTTTACTGATCTAAGAGGTCACAGCAATATGGAGAGAAAAAATAAGCATAAAAAGTTTCAAAAGGTTGAAACAAAACTCAAAAAGGGAACATTCTGCTCATTTGATTTATCGGCATAATCTTCAAAAGGAATTACAAGTGAGGAAACAAAATACCTTAACAGGTGTTGTGTGCAACTTTTGGAGGGCTAAATTTCAGGATGTTCGATCAGTGGGCTTTGGAATTCTCTTGTATTCATAGTTGTTGATGTCTACCTTCTCTTGTAAAGCCTGAACACATCAATAACACAATCAGGCGCTGTATATGATGGTGAAACTGAACATCATAACAAATGAGTTGCAATGAATAAGAGTAATACCCTCAGTTCTTCTTCTAACGATATATTTTTCGGCTTATACGCGTCAATGGGTCCCGTTCTTGATAGGGCTTTTCTCATCTCAGTGATCTCCCATTCTTGATCATCTTTCACCTTTGCAATATCTTTACTGAACTACAATGCAAATTCGACACGTTTTTAAAAAGAATATCAAGTGGAAAATGATAATCTACATATATAAAGCAAACATGGAAGCATTACAACAAATATGATCTTGATAATATTTATACTGTTGCTGTGCAGATAGCTAATTAACAGTCTACTCCAAATAGAACTTTCCAAGATATGAAATAGAGCACCAGGGAAGGTATTAATGTATAGGAAAACGTTGTGAAAGGTAAGCCAGACAGTAGTGAATATTAAGTTGAAACGACTGCACACAGAATTTTCATTCTCGAAGCATTTTCGCATCGGTTCTCAAATCTCAATTCCATGGACTCGATGACCACTTCCAAGGCAAAGTCCAGAATCTTTGCTATGTATTTTAAAACAGGAAAATTTAAGTGATCTCCTAAAGAAGGCAACACCACCACTTTGAATCATAAACTTCAAACAGTACCAGCAACCACTAACCTTCCTTGCAAGAGATGACCAAGACCAACTGCCCCAAGCACAGTGAGAGAGATCATTGGAAGTCCATATCTGATAAATGGGTGTCTTCTACCCCATCTTCTAAACATGGATGGAGATGACCGAGCTGCATTGTTGGCAGAGACACTCTTCTTTTGTTCTGTAGACTGACCCACTCCTGCCTCAGTGCTGGTCATGGTGCGAAATGTTTAAAACCTGAATTGAATGAACGTAAGAAAAATGCTAATGGTTGCAATATTCAAGTGCTAGAGAATAGAAGGTATTTCCAAACAAGACAAAATTTTACTTGTTATTTGTATGACTTAACATCTACTTCTAGCGTAACGTATATTATGTCTGTCGTTCAATATTTATATTATACTGATACATCGAGTCCAATCGAACTTTGCATATGAATTTATGATGTTTGATGTAGGAATGTAATATTTAAAATGTATGCAGAGATTCAAAATGATCCCAAGGAAAATGTTACTCTAAATTAATTCCTCCATCATTTTTTGTATCGAAAGGGCCAAGACAGAGGCAAGGGTTTTGCGACCTTCTTCTAACCCAAACAAGGATGTCAACGGAGAAGAAACAGCCCTCTAATATGAAGGAATGAAGTGGTGGAAGACTTCAAGCATCAAATAACAACGAACAAATGTGAGTGGGGATTACCTAGATTTCAACTAGTGGTATACAGTCTAGTAGTGAGGATTGAGAACTGAAATTGGTAAAAAAAAAATTGAACTCTAGTTTGCTCTAAACACAATACAATTGGCAGCAACAAATAAACAAAGCAAGAGATAAGAACACCAAGATATATACGTGGTTCAACCTTTTTGGCCTACATCCATTTTAAGAAGAAGCTTATGAGATTTTAATTAAGATCATCAAGCACCAAATACAGAGTTAGTTATGATGGGATCAATAAACCCAATGGACTGTAACCCTTCTGAGCCATTCAAACCTCCTTGAGAAGAAATCGATTATACCTCAAAACTTGACTGATTTGAGCTCCAATCAAATACCCCCTGTGAAATCTCAAAGAAAAACAGCCACCCACGTCAATTTAGTCACTGTACCGTGACCACACCGCCTGTGCAAACTGACCATGACCCACACACAATCTCCACCGCTGCTGAACAGAGAGCCATGAATGCTGCTCTAGCCTATGAAATTGAGACCCACACCTGCATTTCAGCCTCCTACACCAAGACGCACAGCCCTATATTTTTCTCCTTCAAATTTTGGCATAAGTGTGTTTTTCCCACAGCTGCATTTCTCTCCCTATCACAGGCTGCGTAAGACGAGAGGATGAATGTTTAAGACTTAAAACGCCCCACCTTGACCTTAAGATAACCTGGCATATTAAACAAAATCCAATGCAATCCTTAAGTTTTTTAGGGGCAAGGTAGATGAGCAATTCCCAAGCTGGAGCAGCCATGAGAAAACCCCTAACTTATGGAATAATGGTTAATTTTGACACTCGACGCATATCCTCATCAGCTACCACAACAAAGACCAAAAGCTTGTAACTATGCCCCATTTCAACTAAGAATTTTTCCTACGCTTAAACCCAAACAATCTCAGCAAAACACTTACCCAAGCCCTAAGATCGTTATGGATCAACATCTCCTCTTTCAGCCAGCTCCAGTTGCCAAAATTATTCTTTCTTCTTCTCCAGCCTTCGGTTCCTAAAGTAAATTCGCTCCATCTTTAGTATATATATAACTCGAATGACCAAATTCCATCCTTTGTTTGAGCCCCAACCGTACGAGGTAAGTCCGAAACAATAACATAACACATACACAGAAAACAAGATAAAAGCACAATTTCAAACACCAAGCAAAATTTCGCCCGAGAATGCAAGATTATGCCTCTGAAACAAAACGGAAAAGCAAAAACGAAGCACTACAGAATAAGAGAGAATATCTTTACCATGCTACGCCAAACTGACCTCCTTGACGAACAACAAGAAAGAGATGGAACTAGAAAAGAATCGCCCGATCGGAAAATCTAATTCAAACGCAGAGAGAGAGAGAGAGAGAGAGAGAGAGGGAGAGAGACAGAAGATAAATGTTAGAAAGGGGGAAGCATCTCGGACCTCGGTGCTGACTCCACTTCGTATCGGGCCGAAACAAAATACAGCTTGGAACTAATTTGGGCCTTGGCCCAATAAGCCCAGATTAGATCTATTGGACTCAACTTTAATTGGGTTTCTATAGCCCTGGATAAAGCCCAATAAGCCCAGGTTAGAAATTTACTATTCCATCAACTCGGGCTATTTAAATAATGTCTTAATTTAATTATTATTTTTAATTAACTTTAAATTTAAATTAATCGTTAATTCAAAGAGGTGATAATAATTAAATATTTAAAAATACGAGTCTATCAACTTTTTTGCCCATTTTAATAATTTATTTTATTTTTATTTTGTCAACATAAACCTAATAACTACATAAAACAATATAATATTTTAATTAAATCCACAAAAATACATTTTAATTAGACCTATAAAAAATACATTTTAATTAGACCCATAAAAACACATTTATTTAATAAATTTCATGATCATTTGTAAATAAAGTAAATAATAAATAAATAAATAAATAACTGAAATGGTTCTTTACTATTAACTTTTCATCTATTAATTTGCTATAAATTAATTGGAAAATGATGAATCTATGATGGAATAAGATGGGAATTACAATTTTTTTCCCAAAAATCTCAATAGAGTCTCCATGAATGTGGGAGGGCTTTTCGAAACATTTTGTGATCTTCAAGAATAAAGGTTAGTGAATTAGAGTTTAGATTTCGCTATCAAATACAGCATTACAACCATAAACACACACAACACAAAGCTATATCAACTCGTCATGATGTTCTTTGTTGTTCGTTCATAAGCGGAGACGTCGACGACATTTCGCGATCTGGTTTCGAGTTTATGAGGAGCTTGGATGGTTTCTGTTCAGAATTTTTGAACTTTATTCTTAAACCCAACTTCTTCAAGATCATGTTCCATCCACCCTTTGTCTTCACCAGCTTGTCCAGCTCCTCCTTCATGCTCAAGCACTCTTTCTCCAGCTCCGACACCCGCTCTTTCATGTTGTTGTCAATACCAAAAGCGCGGTTCTCAGTCGTGCAGGCATTGTCATATGGTGCTGCATTGTTTGTACCACCAAGTGCAGCCATGTTCCCACTGATGTTATGTGAATTCTCAATATTGTCCGAGAGAAATAACCAACTGGCTACCGACGTTCGGAGTCGAAGTTGTTCGAAGAAAAGTACTTGGACGACGACACGAAGCGGTAGTCTTTCGTTTTGGGCTGCATGGGTGCTGGCTTCCAATGAAAGCTTCTGGCAGTTCATAAGCCTACAGATTTGTTCTCTTTCAGAGTCTGTTAGCCAGTGATGAGCCTGACACAATGTACAAACAAACAAAGCAACATTAGAAGTCAAAAGCAAACCAGAAGCAAATCTTATAGAACATCTTACTAAAGCTCTTAAACTTGAATCTTTCTTGTACAAGATACCTTGAGGTAAATATCGATAGCGCGGTAAATCCCATCGTCGAGTGGCCTAGCGAAATCAGGAATAGCTGCAGCTAGTGACTGAAACTTCGGTAACTTGAGATTAACATCTGGTGCAACTTCAGCAAGATATCCATCAATGAGATTAGCCACCATTGTTAATGGAGCAACTGAATTGGACCCCATCAATTGCCCATCCTCAACTCTAGTCAAAATGCAATCGTTTCCATTTCGATCAACTAGCATAAAGTGATCAAGAATTCGCTGAATACAGTCGATATCATACAACGTCTCGACCGAGTACCCCATGTTTGGTATCAGAAGATCTTCAATAGCTGCTTGTTCTAACTGTGCCCCAATGCGTTTTTCGAGATTCTCCTGACACAAGAAGCTAGCATGTAAAATCGTGGAGGTTCTCAGAAGCCTAATCAGGAACTTTGTTGGTGTCACACCCTTTTGATGGGGAAGTAATTCGACTATCTCTTCAAGAAGTCCCCTTTGATCGACTTCCGACGAAGCCGAAACATTCAATACCAGTGCGCTAAACGTTCGATCATCGTTGCTTGCTTGCCTTCCCAACAAGGGAAGGTGCCTTCTAGCATAATGAATGAGAGAGCCAGCAATGATATCAGCCTTCATGCCTCTTGATCCAACTTCCAAAATCAGTCTTTTATAAAGAGGCAATCTAAGGAACGACACATCTTCAAACCACCAATCTTCCTGAACTTTCCGTGATCTCGACGATACATGAATTCCGTTCCAAAACTCTGTACCTTCAGAGCTTTGCATCGATTCAGGTCCCGAAACAGGCCAGCTAAACAAACTTGGATCAGAACAAGCTTTCATTGCCAAAGAATTTATACATCTTGACACAATATGAAGCTCCTCAGCATAACACAAAATCCCTTCACATGTTTCAAGAGCTTTAATCGAATCTGTCCAGTTTCCAAAGACTTCATTCAAGAAATTCTCGCATTGCATTATAAGATTTCCATTTCCAAAATCCTCGGTCATTCGAAGATACTCCGCTGCGCACCTCAGCTCGACTACATTGAGTGCAGTGAGCTCAAGTTTAACACCATAACAAAACTTAGCTACAAGTAAGAAGGCTTTGGCTCCACCAGGAATGTCATGAAGTTTCATAACACATTTTCTATCATCCTCTCCACAAAATTCCCCAATAAGTTGTTCTAATACTCCACTTCTGGAGAGCAGAGGAAACTGAAGCAAATACAAGTAGTAGGAATCTATACCTTAAATTTTCAATAACCTCAAATGTCCTAAAAAACTAGTAAGCGTTCATACAAAATCGAAACCTAGTAAGCTTTCGTAGTCAGATAAACCGATGAAGGTGAAGATTATAATATCAAATTTCTCACCTTATGTAGATGAAATGAGGAGTTTCCAACTTCAACAATGATATCACTTGCAAGTCCAGATGAACAAACCCTAAATCAGAGGGAGTTCATTTACAACGAGAATCAAAATGTCTAAATAATGAGAACTTATTAAGAACACATATCATCGACTCTAGAACAATAAGATTATATCAAGAATTTCAGATGAAATCAACTAAATCCACGAACGAAAACCAGCAACACTCATTTCGATCGAAACAGAGAAAAGAACAACGAACAGTAATTATTATCCATAAGAATGAAAAAAGAATTCGTAAACGAAGAAGAAACAGACCAGGAATCGCCATCGCGGTGAAACACTTCCGATTTAGATCCAAGCTTCAGAGATGCCATGGAAGAAGAGTATCTTCTCAAGCTCGACTCTCCAATGTCATAGGCATAGAGATTCACAGCGACGATTAGAGGATGAAATGGAAAGAAATGAAGGAAGAGTTGTTGTAATTTTTGAAATGGATTGGATGTTTTGAGGCTGTGGGTGAAGAAGAGCGATGGTCCCGAGTCCAAAGGAGGAACCTAGGAGAAAATTCAGTTGCTGCAGTTACACGAAAAAGGCAGTGTTTGGCAATTTGCAGTTATTTGTTTTTCATTTCACGTTGGGATTTGGGGAGCACTTACACACTTACTTACAACGTTCAACGTAATAATACGTTTCGAGAATTAATATCAATATCAAATATGAAATTGGCATATTAGTCTACGCCCACTTTTGTATGCATGGAGATCATAACATTGGACCCCATTTCCATAAAAAGGTGACAAATTTTGTTGTTTTCAATGAATATGTTTTTTTTTTAATTGAATTATACTCGCATGATATCACAGGTACATTGGTAAACCCTCAAATATCGAACAAATAACTTTAAATGAAAAAAGATTCAAACCGCCAAAACTCTAAAGGAGTCGAATCTCGATTAAGGAGAGCCGTTGGATGATGAAAGTCCCATATCCCCTAATTTAGGAAATGGTCATAAGTTTATAATTAATCAATACTCTCTTCATTCGTATGAGACCTTCTTCTCGGAAGCCCAAAGAGAAGTCATGAGAGCAAATATCATACCATGGTGGAGAGTCGTGTTCATCTAACATGGTATTTAATATTGCTAAAATATATTTAATATTAAAACGAAATTTCACGTTTTTTAAACTTTTAATTTTATATCCGAGTAGGTATTTAAACTTTCGTCTAATTTATTTTTAAACTTTTAAACATTTTAAAATAATGGTTAATGACACATTTTCCTAAAAAAAAAAAAAAAAAAAAAAATTAAATAGATGAATTGTGATATAAAATAACAAAAAATGTTTAAAATTTTCAATATATTAAATCTAAAATTGAAAATTATGAACTTTGTTACGGGTGGTTTCATGGCCAAGCCCAACAGGCCCAACAGGCCCAAATAATCTAAGGATTAGAAAGCCCGATCAAAATGGAGTTAATCGAGAGCAATGAAAACGAAGTGGGTCCCACATTTTTTATTAACACTCTCTTTTATCTTCAAATCAAATTTCCTGCAAAGGTTGTTGGGCTTCATATTTAGAAGCCCATTTAGCCCAAAATTGGTACCCGACCCGGCCCATATTCAAATGATATTGAAATGTGTTAAATTATTATATATTATATTTAATGATTTTGAGGTAGGAGAATTGAAGCACCATACAACCAAATTAGAGGCTTTAAAGTGAATGAAACCTTATTCATTTCATTAAATATAAACATATTATGTCAACTACTTCAATTTCAAGTTTTAATTTGGGTCTGCTCCTTCCCTTTTACCTACCCATATGTTTTCTCAATTAAAACCACAGATTTAAGTTATTGGGTCGTAATGTAATCAACTTATATTACTTATTGCAGAGGTTCCAAACTTGATTCTCACCTACGCTTATAAAATCCAAATCTTTTGATTGCTACGTTACACTCATCAAAGAATTCATTGCTTCGTGTTATTGTTTCAATCGGTGTAAATAATTTGATATTAAAATTATCAAAAATAAAATAATTAAAATTACCAAATTAATTTGATTTTAATTTTTTTTTTTTTTTTGGAGCCTATACAATTTTAGCCATTTTAAATTGAAAAAAATAAAAAATAAAATCGAGTCTAATAACAATAATAATAAGTT